AACCGGGTCTTAAAGGGCCCTCCGCCCAAATCCTTTTAGCCTTTTTGCCTACTCGAGGTCCTCTATCGAATGATGTATGAACGAACGAAATCGGAGCCGGACACCTGGGGCGGTTCCCTCGTTAGTTCAATCGATTTTTGTCATCAATCAATCATTTCCCTGGATCCCATTTAGTTAATATTGTAGTAAAAAATAGATAATGCTACTAGAAAAGCAATTTAAAATTGATTTAGATTTCATGAGGTTGGGCTATAGGTTTATCGACAAGATAAACAGTAAGTAAACCCTCAGTAACACCCTCACCCTCATTATAATTTGCATATTGTGATATTGGACATTTTATATAAAATGTTGTCGTAACTGTTTTCTGTCCGTTTATTTGCTGGATAAGTAAAATAATTTGATTGTCTATTAATTGTATGACTATTACTACAATACCATTCACCTAGAAATATTTTTAAGAAAAAAAGAAATGACGTACTGTGATATACGTTTTATTACATCCGATAGAGAGACACGCGCACTAGCTAGAAAATTTTGATCATTAGCCTATATGAAAGTTTAATTGTATCATCTATTATGTTTTGAGAAAGAAAAGAGGAGAAGGAGAGTTTCACAAAATATATTCGTAAATCTATAAAACAAAACCCTTCTTTGTACATAAAGTGGAGGTTAAAAGTTTCGAAAGAAAAGTGTTAGAGTTTTTTTTCTGTTATCTTACGTTACCAGGGAAGTTTTGATCAAAACTTCTGCAATAGCTAGGGGTACGTACCTTCGTGTTCTATATGAGAACAAAATATAATCTTATGTTGTCGTCGGATAGTAAGAGAAATCTTTTACTTTTAGTGGAAGAAAATTTAGGAATATTTGAATGCATACACATTGTCTTCCAGAAACAACGGTATATGAAAGTATTTTACAAGAAGCCAAATGATACAAAATGGGTATGTATGCCTTTGGTCGAAAACTGAAAATACCGAAAGTGAAAAAACAGGATGGATAAGATCGAAAAGTAGAATGTCGGAAACCTAAAATGTCGAAAATTTAAAATCTAGAAAACAAAAATGACGATGTGCAAAATGTCGAAAACCTGAAATGTCGGAAATGCAGAATGTCGAACGGGAATACCAACGAAATACGAGTTCTGGAAGCGGACTGATATCTTCAAAATATTTCTTGCTCATAGTTCCGCCGAGAGATCTGCAAATCTTCTGTACAAACTGTCATTTTGTTTGTACGTGAAATCTTTTGCCGTTCTGTTGATGAGGTGACATCAATAAGTATAGATCATAGTTCATTCGGTTCGATAGATTTGTACAAAGTCTTCTTTTACTATTGTCAAGTGGATGGACAGGAAAAAAACACTCTCTAAAATTTATGATTTATATATATGATTTGCAGATCTCTCGGTAGAACTATGAGCAAGAAATATTTTGGAGGCACCAGTCCGCTTCCAGAACTCACATTTTCGTTGGTATTCCCTTTCGACATTCTGCATTTCCCACATTTTAGGTTTTGGACATTCTACTTTTCGATCTTATCCATTCTGCGTTTTCACTTTCGGTGTTTTCAGTTGTCGAGATTCGGTCATACATTCACAAAATACAACACTAAGCGCTACGTCGAAAACTGAATCGAGTGATGGGTTTTTCGCAAAACCCATCACTCGATTCAGTTTTCGACGCTGATCATGAACATGAGTCTGGTTTTGCTTCAAAATGCTTTCTTCATAAAGAAAAACACAAAAGAAAGTTATATCATATTTTCCTCTTCTTTTTCTGAAAGAACAATAAGAAAGTAAAAACTTTCGTTTTCATTTTTCGTTTCAAGATCTTGAAAAGAAAAAAAATCTGATTGATTCTTTCAGAAATCATGTGACTGTCTCCTTGAAGAGGTTATCAGACTTTTTTTCTTTAAAGATTTTTTTTGTTATATTTTCTTTAAGGAATCTTTTCTTGCAAATCTTTAAAAGTTCTTGTCATATTATACCCTGTTATAGGTATAATACAAATAGAAACTTGTAAAATTTCGAAGGACACGTTTCTATCTATATGATCATAAGAAAACTTTTTAGTAAGAGAAAGTTAGTATATGCGTAAATATTTTCTTTTATCGATGTTAGTGCCATAAACAAATAAACACAAAATCGTAAAACTTTTGTCTCTACTAAGCACTAAGAGTTCCGAAGAAGAATCAAAAGCTTTTCTTAGGCTTTTTCTGGACTGTATGCTCATTGTCAAGTATATATTTTAACATAAGATTGAATATCTGTCCGACACATTGGACAGTTTTTCACTGAATGACCACATGGCACACATGCAACTAGATGACCACACGGAGAAAACACCAGACATTTTTTTCTGATATGACATGAAAAGCATTTATCTGACCCTGAAGATGATGATGCTGTCGAATTTGGTTCTTGATGCTCTAAACGTAAATACGTACACTATCGCAAAAAACCTATCCGTACGATCGGTTTTTTGGATTTAACTCGGTTATTAAAAGAACTCTTTTAGCTTTCCAATATATGAAACAAAAGCTCCGGAGCTGCTCTGTTTACACTGAAATTTTGGTTTGATTTTGACTTCTTCTGTAGAAGTTATGGGTAGAACAAGTAGGACGTATCAGGTTTTGAGAGAAAAAGATATTCGTACGTTTTTAAAATTGGTTTTTCTCTGTCGGTAAAGATGATAAAATAATAGAGTCATATATGATTTTGAAGAGCAGCGCAAGGACTACATTTTAGTAAAGAATGAATTATGAATTATCAATAAACATTAATATAGCATTAAACGCAGATAAGATGGTTGTTTTCGTACGAATTATGGGAAATACAAGACGTCGAAATCGATTGCTCGCCAGATCGACAACTCAGATTCCAAAATTTAAAGACGGTGACATTGTGCTAGCTAGTTACCCCGATGGAATAGGCTATCGTTCAACAATCATCACGTACCATGAAGCCGTTTGTCTTGTTAGACGCGGTGAAGAGGGGTTTGTTAATGGAGTAGCAACAGCATATGTTTACCCTTTTGCTCAAGAAGAAGATGACACATGCTCTAGAATTCTTCTAGAAGATTTATAGGAAAACTCTCGGACAAAAACAGCAGTTATTTCAGCTATTTCTACTATTCATTTCATCGTCAACAACAACCCTAGAGAAAAATATTTCTGAAAATCTTATAAGATTCTTATAAGAATCTTATCAGTTTCTTACATAAGATTGTTTAAGATTTCCCATCGACAGCCGTAAGTCTCTTATAAGAATCCGATAAGAAATTCATAAGAAATTGATAAGAATTCAATAAG